TAAATGTAAATGGCTTAAAACATTCAAAAAATTTTAAAAAGACATTCAGATTGTCTCACAAAGCTTAATCCAACTCGACGGTATATGAGTCACATCTAAACCAAGTAATTCAGAAAGGCTGAAAGAAAAGGACTGGTAAAGTTTCATGGAAAATGTGAATTAAAAAAGCAGAAGTTACTGTTGTATTAAATATGGCAAAGAAAGATGCAATTCACTACAAAGAGTTAAAAGATTACTATCTGTGTGTTTTAAAGGACATTGCATCACCATGCAGGATGCCACACCTGTACGTGCTGCAAGAAGAAACAGACTGGGAACACATGAGTAGTAGGTGTCTAATTCATTTCTCCATCCCTGACAGGTAAGCAAGGAAACAGAAAACATAACCAACATAATTAATGGGGGAGACATAACTGATATACACCAAGCTCTGAATCCCCCAAATAGCCACACTTCTTTTCAAGCCCCATTTGAAAAGTCATAAAACTCACAAAAACTGATTACATCACAAAGAAAAATTTAAGTCCAAAAAAGTAGAAATCGTGGACAACATTCTCTGGTCATAATGCACTATAACTAGAAATAATTGATTACAAAAGCACCTACTACCGGAATGGACAGATGGAATTCAAATGAGCCTTAGGTCAAAGAAGAAATCAAAACCAAATTATAAGAGATTTTTAAAATAATGATAAAAATGCCTTCTATTAGGGCACCTGGGTGGCTCAGTGGGTTAAGCCTCTGCCTTTGGTTCAGGTCATGATCTCAGGGTCCTGGGATCGAGTCCCGCATCAGGCTCTGCTCAGCAGGGAGCTTGCTTCCCCGTCTCTGTCTGCCTCTCTGCCTACTTGTGATTTCTCTCTCTCTCTCTCGCTCTGTCAAATAAATAAATAAATAAATCTTAAAACAAAAAACAAAACAAAAAAAACCTTCTATTAGGACCTGTAGGGTACAACTAAGGCAGTGCTCAGAGAATTCATAGCCTTAATAATTCCTTTTTTATTTATCAGTAGCAAGAATTAAGCTTCTAACTCATTTTTTAAGAAGAAAAGTACAAAGACGACCTTAATAAAAACATAAATTAGTGAATTAGAAGCCAGAGAAGGGTAATTACTAATAAATAAATCCTATAGATAGATCTTTGAGGAGGGGAGGTTGGTGACCTCTTAGCTAACCTAATCAAGAAAAAATGGGGATGGGGTAGGGGAGGAAAGCACAAAATACACAAGAAAAAGGATGAAATCATCATTTAAAAGAACAGTAAATTAATTTGTTCAACCTCATGAAAGTAAATTTAACAACTGGATAAAATGAATACTTTTCTAGACAGACATAATTTACCAAATTCATTCAAGAAGCAGTAGAACAATGATAACAGATCAATTATTACAGAAGATCAATCATTACAGAAGAATCAAAGAGCTACTCTCCCACCCCAAAGAAAGGCACTGGCCCAGCCTGTTTCACTGAGGATCAACTAATCTTTAAAGAACAGATAATCCACTTCTACTTAAACTGTCACAACTGCATAGGAAAAGGAGGGAAGCCTCCATTTTCTTTACAAGGCAAGCTTAACAGTGATTGCGAAACCCAACAAAAATGTGTTCCAAAAAACTGAAGACTAACTTCACAGATGAAATTTTCTAGCAAAACCCCTAGGCAGCCAAGCCAATCCAGCAATATACTGAAATATTCACCATGACCGAGTGGGATTCGACCAGGAATGCAAGGATAGTTTGATGTTAAGGGATCGCTGTCATTATTCCTATTAAAAGATTAAAGGAAAAAAACCTACAATAGTCTTCACAGACACTGAAAAAGGATTTGGTAAGATGCAGCTTCCATTCTTAATTTTTTAAAAATTCTTAATAAAACAGGAATACAAGGACACTTATTTAACCTGATAAAACATCCGTCCCTGAAACCAGCATTTTGCATGATAGGGACATCCTAAAAGCTGCTTATTAAAGTCAGGAATGAAGCAAGCATGTCCATTATCAGCACCATTATTTCTCACTGTTGCAAGGATCACAGCCAACGCTATTAAGACAAAGAAATTAAGATATAAAACCTCCAAAGTATATGCACATGATAAAACAGAGTAACTGGAAAATCTAAGAAACCAAATGGAAAAACCATTACAGACAATAAAAGAATTCAGTAAAGGGACAGGAGTTAATAGCCTTTATGTAAATAACCTCCATTTCAGGAAGAAAAGACTAGCCAAAAAAAGGGGTAACTATCCAGAATTAAAACTTTTAAAATGCGCACGGATCTAGGTGAAACGAATATTAAAACATTCCCAGGGACACAAAAAAGTTGGAACAAACCGAGGGTTTCTCATGGCCCTGGAAGGCATCGACATAAAAACATAATTTCTTCCTGAATTATAAATTTCCATGTGATCCCAGAAAAAAAAATAAAATAGGACTTTTCTTCTTACCCAGATGAGCTGATTCTATAGTTCAGTCAGAAAAATAAATAGCCAATTTCCACTTCTAGAAATTTAGGGTAGGGGACCAACAAAGAACAGCAAGTACCACCATATAGTAAAAGGTGTTGTGTACATGCTACAATGCAAATGAACCTTGAAAACACGCTGCTAAGTAAAAGAAGTCAGTTGCAAAAGACCACATGCTATAGGGTTCCCTTCTTAGGAAAGAAGAAGGGGAATGAGGGGTCGGGGAGTGACTGCTGGTGGATAAGAGTTTCTTCCTCAGGTGTTAAGAATTTTCCGAAATTGACTGGGGTGATGGTTGCAAAATTCTGTAAATATACTAAAAACCATTAATTGTATAAATCACACGGGTGGGTTTTATGGCATGTGAATTCTATTTCAGTAAAGTTGTTAAAATTCTCTGTAACAACTCTGTAACAATTTAAACACCAACGCCCTAATGACTTGAGTATGCTTGGATCTATACCTTACATTTTATACTATGTATTTATTTTTATTTTTTAAAATTTTTATTTATTTGACAGAGAGAGACACAGCAAGAGAGGGAAGAGAAGCAGGGGGAGTGGGTGAGGGAGAAGCAGGCTTCCTATCAAGTAGGGAGCCTGGTGCAGAGCTTGATCCCAGGACCCCGGGGTCATGACCTGAGCCAAAGGCAGACATCCAACAACTGAGCCACCCAGCACCCCTATGCTCTGTATTTAAAAAAAAACTAGAAGAAACCTTGGGGAACTTAAAAAAAAAAAAAAAATCTCAGCATGAGGAAGGAGACATTCTAAAATCCATGACCCAAAATCCACAGGCCCTAAAAGGAAATACAGATTTCACTTCACAAAGACAAATGGCAGAATCAAAGACAAATGGTGAGTTGGGAAACCATATGTAATTCAGATGACAGACAGAGGTCTAATTCCATCATATACAAAGAGCTCCTGTAATTCAATGAGGACAAAAACTACCCAATTGAAAAAATGGACTAAGGAGATGAATAAGTTCAAAGATAAAACAAATGGCTCCAACATGAAAAGATATTCATCCTCATTCATGTTAAACTTAATTTAAAACTGCACTGTGATCCTACTTTCACTGATGAGGTGACCAAGCCTAGAAGTGTGATACCATGCTGTGATGGTGAGGGGGTGGGCAAACAGGCTATCTCACCCAGAGTCATCTGAAGATGTCAGTCAGACTACATCTATCAAAATTACAAAGGCAGGCGGGCACCAGGGTGGCTCAGTCGTTAAGTGGCTGTCTTTGGCTCAGGTCACCATCCCAGAGTCCTGGGATTGAGCCCCGTGTCGGGCTCCCTGCTCAGCAGTGAGTCTGTTTCTCCCTTTGCCCCTCCGCCTGTTTGTGCTCTCTCTCTCTCAAATAAGTAAAATCTAAAAAAAAAAAAAAAGTAAAACTTAAAAAAAAAATACTCAAATAAGAAAAATACTTAAGTAAAATACTAAAATAAGTAAAAACACTCAAAATCTAAAAAAAAAAAAAAAGATAAACACCTATTAAGAAAGGAAAAAGAGGCACAGCATAAGCACAATGATGAATGGCAACCAATCCTGGGCTACAGGACAGAGCCAACAGGGAGACAGCTGTCCCCCTACATTTAAAAAGAGAACGACAGCACATGCGCATGAATGGGGAGGGTGGGGGGTGGGGAATGAATCTTAAGCAGACTCCAACACGCCCAGTGTGGAGCCGGACATGGGGCTCTGTCTCACAACCCTGAGATCATGACCTGAGCGAATTCAAGAGTCGGACGCTTAACTGACCACCTAGGTGTCCCCGGAGCTGTCCCCTTTGAAGAGACAATAAGTGTTCATTTCTAACTGAGAACTGTAGTTCAGGAACCTGGGCCTATGTTACCAGATCCTCTGATTTTTTTTTTTTTCCCCAAGAGACATCAGAAATCCTGTTTTCAAATGTTCCCAAGGACTTCAAATTAAAAAAAAAAAAAAAAAAAAAAAAAGACCCTATGATGGCTAAAAAAAATCGGATCAGAGAGTTTGGTCTTCCTGTCCTAGAGGGTCAAGGAAGACAGCCCCTTGGAGATCACCTTGTCCAGCTCCGTAATTTGACACACTGAAAACGCAAGACCCAGAGTGGGGAAAGACATGCCCAAGATCACACAGCAAATCAGGCCCTGCACTGGGATCCCACTCAGGACTATGTGCTTCTACATCGTCCTCCTCTCTCCCAACAGCACCAGAAAATCATGGTGAGTGAGACAGACACGGGGCATTGTGGGTTCCCAGGCAGGGGGGTCCTGGGGAGGAGGTCACACCGTGCAGGAGTCACCCACCCAGCCAAAGGGTGGGTGCCATTGTTGGGGAGGGGGTGCAGCACAGGCAAAGGCCTAGAACATGAAGAGCTCTGGACAGGGTGGTGGTGGGTAGACTATCTCTACTGGGATCTGCCCCCACAGAGCCCTGGGGTGGGAAGAACTGGGTGCATCCGGGAAAGAGCACTCTCCCCCGACCCCCGACCATGGACTCAGGGGGCAGAAGAAGCGGACAGAGACGGGCTGGGGAGGCTGTGTACTCACACTTGCGCAGATCCAGGCTCTTGCTCGGGCAGGCCAGGTGCTGGCCCGGTGGATTCTGGGTCCTCTGGAGACAGGCCAGCATGGCTGAGCTGGGGGCCCGCGGTGGGGCACACTGTGCAGCAGGGTCCCTGTGAGGAGGGAGATGAGATGCTTGTCACTCGGGCTGCTCTGTGCCCGCCTCCCATGTACCCCGGCTTGCAGTTGCTTCCAGCAGCCTCCCCACTACGTGGCAGAACATCTGATACTTTCAAAGCAGATGCCCCTTTTCCCTTATCTGACAGAGGAGGACGCTGAGGCCTGGAGGCATCAAAGGAAAGAAAGGAAAAGAACCCACATCTTGGGTGGTGGATTTCCACCATGTCACAGGGGGCAGTGCGGGGTTCAGTAGAACAGACTGGTGGGTCACCTCCTCCAAGGGGCTTCCCTGATGCCGCCAGGCCTGGTTAGATCCTCACCCCCTCCCTGTTTCCTCAGCAGGTTGCCCTTCCAGCCAGGGGTGGCTTGTGGTCCTCTTGTCGGCACCTGGGAGTGGGTCTGTCCCTGCTTTTCAGTTTTGAGCTCATGGAGAGCAAAGACCCCACATGGTCACCTCTGGAAGCGATACTGGGGCCGGGGTGGGGTGTTGCCCAGGAATTGCCAATGGGCGCCTGGGTGTTCCAGTGTACTGAAGAGTCCTGGGACATTCTCACAGCACCCCTGGGGGAAAGGTCCAGGACAGCATTCCTGGGAGAACGTGCGTTCTCCAACCCTGACCGGTGTTGAGCCTGAGCCCAGGTCCCCCGGGGCCACCAGGGTTCCCAGAACACAGAGGCCCTGATGGGCAGGGTGAACACAGGCCAGGTGGGGCCTGCCCTGGAGGCCATGGAGAGGGAGAGGTGGGTTTCTCTGCAAGACCCCTCCCTTCTTCTTATCCCAGTTAGGAGCCAGCAGCCCGACACCCCTGACATTCACAGAGCTGACCCTGGCTCCCCCCACCTCCTGACCTCACCCCATCCCCACTGGTGTCCTGAGCAGCCAAGCTGGGCCAGCTCAATCCTCCTGCCAGTTCTTAAAAAAAGGAAGAAAGACAGGGGTGGGGGGGCGGTGTTTAAGGGGAAGAAAGGGAGTTATTTAATACTAAACAGGTGTCTGGAGCCCTTAAATTCTGCTGCTTTCTTCTAATAATGAAGTATTCATGAGGAAAAGCCTTTTTTCACTACTTTCTTAAGATACTAATTTCACAACAAGCTCCTTGTTACGGAGCAATTATTCCAATCTTGAATTTCCCCGAGACGGTTGCAGCCTCCTGTCTGTCCTGGCCTCTCGGTAAATGAAAGACAATCACGTAACCACCTTTCATTATGCTCTATTTTACTTTCAGCAAAGGTACCCTGAAAGAAATGATTTACTCTGAAAGGGACTTTTATTCAGTTTCAAAACCAATTTTCTCCTATTACTGTCTCAAAAAAAAAAAAAAAAAAAAAGAAAGAAAAAGAAAAAAAAGTAGGGGGTGGGTGGGGGAGGGGAGGCGGTTTGCATCCCCCTCCCTACCCGCCAGTCGCCAGCCTTAAGGCAGGCAGAGCTGCAGTATCCACTTCCCGACTTTGATTTCTGGTAATTTTAAAATATGCCATTACAATCAGGCAGAAATTATACAGTTTAAAAAGGGAATGAAGCGGGGTTTATTGCAGGGATGAAAGCCCTTGACAGTGGGAAGGAGGCACTGCTCCTGGGGGACAGGGGACCCAGGCCCTCTAGGACAGAGCCGCACACTCACACTGCCCCACTAGGACAGCCGGGGACGTGCGGGCAGGACGCCGTTCACGTGCATTCCATTCATCTCCCAAGGTGGGCGCCCACTGCCGTCCTCCTGAACGTGAAAGTCCTCTCCATCCACAGATGGGGAAACCCAAGCCTGAGAGAGGCAGCACCCCGCCCAGGGCCACCCTGCAGGCACTGGCTAGATGAGCCTGCTCCCTTACCAGTGGGCAGCCCCCCCACCCTGGGCTGGAAACCTGGGACCTACAGACCCCTGCCAGGGCCAACCATGGGACCTCAGGGGAGCTACTACCCTCCTCTTGTAAGTAGAGGCTCCCTTATCCCTCCCAGGTCATTACCCACCAGCATCCTCACCATGCCCAGCAGGCCCCCCTCCCCCTGCAGATCCTTTCACTGTGTGCCAGGGGCCCAAGAAGCCCAGCCCCTGTCCAGGTCTGCCCCTGCAACCCCATGGGTCACACATGCTTTGCAGCTGAACAGGGCAGGCTTGGAGCTGTAGTTGTTGGGGATAAGGGGCAGGTTGCCTAATCTGGGGCCTCTCTGGACCCCATCAGTTGCCCTCTCTGTGGGGCTCTGGTTTTCAGAATGCTCTGATGATGGATGCCTAAGCAGTTCAGGAAGCCGAGAGATCACCAGCTCAGGGGGCGATAGAGGATCCCCTGGAAGCGACAGCATCCACTCAGCTCAGTACGAACAGCCTGGATCACCTCAGCCTTGCTTCTGGAGGCCCCGCCGCCCGAGAGACTATCTCTACTGGAAGGCGGGGAGTTTTTCTCTCTGTGCCTCTAATCCCAGTTCACTGCTCATTTTCCCAGGAACCCTGTGCCTTGCTGCTGGGGCAGGTCGGGGGTCATGGTGGAGGGGACAGGAACCAGCCCAGCATGGTGATGAGCAGGTTACCACCAGTTCCCACAGCATCCAACCAGCTACAACAGGACAGAGTCAGGCCCAACATTCTTTGCCTATCCCCCCCACACCACCCGCCCTGGCCAGCTCTCTAGCCCTCCCTCCAACTGGCTGCCCCACACCTCCAAACCTTTGCCTGTGCTGGTCCTCTGCCCAGAGAGCACCACGACCCCAGTCCATTTTAACTCAGACTCTCGTTCAGCTGTCCCTCCCCTGGGCATCCTCCCCTCCACAGTCCTAATCACACCAAGTTGTAATTGCCAATTTTCATGTCTGTCTCTCTCCACTGGACTGTGAGTTTCTCAGGGGCAAGGACCATGTCTTATTTGTCTCTTTCTCCCGGTGCCTGGCAAAGAGTAATCATTTAATAAATAGGTGTTGAATGACTGGCTGAATCAATGAATCAGTTATTGTCAGATGAAGTGACCAAGGCCCAGAGAAGCCAAGCATCCTGCACAAGGCCACACAGCAAGCTGGGGACTGGAATGAGGCAAGTGCCTAAAACACTCCTGTTCTTCCCTCGAACCCACCCTGTACCCCTCTCTGCTTGGCATCATCCCATCTGCAGAAAGCCAGCTCCTCTGAGGCCCCAACCTGCCTCATGACCAGCCCCCTCACACCCCCCCCACCCCGGCTCAGGGACCATCCTGGGAACACTGCTGATTTTGAAACCCTATCTGCAAATCAGGCTGTTTATAAGCTCAAGGTCTTTTGTGACTTTAATAAAAAAAAGGGGGGGTGGGGGGGAGGGAGGGAGAAAATGTCGCAAGCCTCAATGATTAGAATGCTTTGGCATCATTCCTGACGTGGGGGCTGATAAGACGTCTTATCTCAGAGGCACCTCTAGGAAAAGGTCCCCTCCACCAGATAACGCCCCCAGCTGTCGATATGCCCTTTCATGGCTGAGGATTTAGATAAAGGAAATGTGACAGGGGAGGGGAAAGAAAGGAAGGAACTTTCGCAGTCCGAGGAGGAATGGAGTCTGTGCGACTTGCCTTGGCAGAACAATACACAGAGGATGTCTAAAGGCTGTCTTTATTTTTATTAAAAGAACAGGGAATTGGGGCCTTTGGCCCTCCCTGCCTTTTGTCATCTCTCCCTGCCTGTCTGGCTGCAGGGGACCTCAGGAAGCCCCCAGCCAGCGGGAGGGGGAGCTCACCAATAACCACATACATTAGCACTAATAAGAGCCCTGCCCATTTACCGAACGTTCCCTCTGGGCCACCTCCCACGTGCCTCCTGTCCGTTACCCCTCACTGCCACTTCCTAGCAGCCTCTGTGGGTTCTGTTGTTAGCCCCATTTCACAGATTAGGAAATGGTCACAGAGAAGGGAAGTAATCTGCATGAGGTCACACAGCTTTTAGGTGTCACCCCAAACAGAGACCGCACCCTAAGCCTCACACATGTGCAGCCCCCACACTTGGCTCCATCGTAATGGGGGGGATGCCCGCAGGCCCCAGCTCCCTGGGCAGCTGGACAGGAAAGAGCGGAGGCTAAGGCCTGCTTCTCCCCAGTGCCCAAATCCACTTTGATTCTGCTCCAGCAGGGGCTAGGATCACAGGGAGGGAGGTGAGGAGGGGAAGGAGGAGGGGCTCCCAGGAGGCCGCTTACTCATCCCATAAACATTCACAGAGCACAGCGTGTGAGGCCTGTGTTGGGCAGAACAATACCAAGAGGAATAAATAAATCGCAGACCCTGCCTCTGGGAGAACCATTCTGAGGTGGCTGTCATTTACCCACCCATTCACTCACTCACTCACTCATTCATTCAGGCAGCAAACACTCCCTGAGCATCCTTTGAGAGCCATCCCTGTGCCATGGGCCCTGTACAAAAATTGGTAAGAACGTCCTGCCAATCCCTGGGGCCTGCTTCTCCCTCTCCCTCTGCCTGCCACTCCTCCTGTTTGTGTGGTCAACTAAGAAATAAAATCTTTAACGAAAAAAAAAAGGATGTCCTGCCAAAGAGAACATCCAGTAAGAACTGACTGTCTACTCCCAAATCCAACCCACTGAAAATGAACTTTCCTGGGCATAGTCAGTTAAGTGTCTGCCTTGGGCTCAGGTCATGATCCTGGGGTCCTGGGGTCCTGGGATTGAGCCTCATGTCAGCTCCCTGCTCAGTGGGGAGTCTGCTTCTCCTTCTACGCCTCCCCCTACTCCTGGACTCGCTCGCTCTCAAAAAACAAATAAAGTCTTTAAAAAAAAGAAAAGAAAAAGAAAGAAAACTTTCCTGGCTTCTCCCTCCAGCTACTATTTCCCGAAAGTGGCAGGTGCGCAGAACCCTCCCTCATCCTGCAGGTCCACAGTCGGCCCCTTGCCAGGCCGTGCTGGCCCTAGAGCGCCACCAAGTATGAAGATGTGCTTGGGCTCCACAGCAGGGTGAGGCTGTGACCTCATGAAAGCCAGGGCTACACTTCCAGAGCCTGTCCTTCCACACTCCTGGAGCTGCCGACTCTGGCCTCG